ACCGCGGTGGGGCGCGTGGAGAGCTCAAATAAGACCGTGCGTTGACTGAATCAGCGCCTGGGCTCCAACTGTGCTGGAAGCACGGTGAGTCAATTTCAATATGTATCCCGAAAGGCTCACCCACGAGCTGAATGCACTCACGCACGCACGCACACAGACGCGCGTGCGTGCGTGCGTGCTCTGTAGGCTAGTTCCTGTCCGTTAGCCAGGTCACGCGGGGAGTACCGTTCGTTTCAACGTTGAGCCTTGGGGGCGGCAGCCGGTGACTTTCGCGTGGATTGGTGTATTATCGAGGCTCGCTTGTGAAGCGAGTACCTTCTCTCACCCACCTCGCCCAAATGGCAAGCCAGTTTTACCCTCTGACTAGGTATCCAGGCTAATTCCATGAAATGGTAATTGAAAGCGTTTTCGACTAAGAAGTGTTATTTAGGTGGGTACTGATTATCGTGCACTGTGATCCAATGACATTTCAGCGATGAAAGGACGCCGACATTTGAATGGGGTTATTTGCGGCCGCCTGAAAAAAACAACACTCGATGAAAATGACTATTTGAGTAATATGATTTCTTTCCTTGTACTCACCTGGTCGCATGTTACATCTTCTTTAAACTCTATTCATGAAGAAAGCTTAGTGATAGGTTTTGAAGATCTTTTTCAACTCACGAATGATTTAGAACCTTAGGGTTCTCAAACCACAAACAGTATGCTTTCTGTGTAAGGAAAATCATACATTTCTCTGTGCTATCAAGAAGAAGTCATCTAGGACTAATGGAATTCTACAATGAATTTGGATCATGTTGTAGGCTTCATAAGCAGCCCCAAAACATGGCCAGTTACGATGTCGCATTTTTGGAAATTCCACGTCCTTCAAAAGTCTCATAGTCGCAACCCTTCTTTAATCTGAAATGTACAACTTCATCGAGTATTAGATTTGAAGAAAAGGGTATTAGTAACCAGGGGAGCACAATAAGGGATATTTTGGACATATTTTCAACAAAATATATTCGAGCTTACAAGGACATCTAAAATCCTTGGAAAAAATGCATGCTACGTAAGCAGTCACTTTATTACCAAGTGCAGTTGGTGCAGTTCATTCAAATTCAGACTTCCTGTACTGACAGAAATATCATGCCTTTATGAAGCACAATAATCGGCGGTACAACCCTACTTGAGTAGCAGTAAACAAGCGATTCAATCCGAGGACATGAGGGTCGAAGCGCCTGTTCCTCGGACGGAGCGGTCGGGGGAGGGGTCCAGCCTATAGTAGAGGTCGCGTGGGAGTGTAACATCAGTCACTCGTCAATTAGCTCGGAGCGTGACGCACAGTTTTGAAGATGGACACTGTGTTGAACTTACCGGAGGGTGGCAAACAATGTACTTCAACTGAGCACGAGGGTGTTTTTTGTGTTGAGCAAAAATTACGCAGCAGCCCAAAAAAGAGCATTCGGAGGTTCACTCAACAATGGCGTCCACAGAGTGCCAAGCGAGCACTGTTTTCAGTCATACCGCGGATCGGCAGCCGAAGATCTGTTCGCAGTTTCTGTCGGTGAGGAGCATTCAAGAGACCCTCATCACGGATGCAATCCACGTTCCGAGGGCGGGGGGGGGGAGGGCACCCGAGATTCCGGGTTTACAAGCCCAGACGAAGCAGGCCATTCTCTGCTAACAGTCTAATTAAGTCGGACAGTTTGCATCGCGTTCTTGAAGCATGTTTAAGCAGGAGGTCGCCTTGTAAACGCTGGCAGTGGGCGTGATGGCAACAGTTGCCCCCCCCCCCTTACCCGCCATAATTATTCACACTGAGGCCAGCGATACTCCATGTGGCACTGGTCAACGACCTGGTTAGTGGACAGGAATTGGCCTAGAGGGATAAAGGGTGCGCGCACCTGTGCACAGCGGACGTGTGCGTATGCTAAACTCGTGACTTGCAGGGGACACGCAGCGCACTTGCCTATTGAATACATTAAATTTTCACAGTTTGACTGATGCTAACAGCGCTGGTGACGTCGGCTTCAACCAGTGACCTCGATTTTGGACGTGGCCGCCTACGGCCTCCTGTGGCCGGACAGCGCAAGTGAATCATTGTTTTATCGGCAGAGTGACACCCGTCTTTGTTATCTGTCCCTACTTTCGACTGCCAGAGTCACAGGGAGGCACATCCCATCTTAGCGAAGTGGGTCTCTTACATCCGCCAAGGGCTGGAAAGCGGATGTGAGCCGCCAGTGCTGCGCCGTCCGACTTCCTGCAGCCAAACCATCGATGTCCTCGTTCGGATTGTTGGAAGGGGAGGGGGTTCTGCCATTATAAATGGCCGTTTGCTGCCTCCGTAATTTGACTGAGCCATTTCTAATAGCTTGCCTCTTATTTGGCAATAGCTGTGATCTGTTTCTTTCAAACGGGCTACTTTTTTCCAGTTTTCTGACTAGCGGGTAGATTTCTACTTTCACTTGGCGGATTTCAGTATTAAGGTAGATGAAAGAAGTCATAATATTGACACGGCACTTAGTCAGGCTGCTAATAATACGAAGACAGTGCGAATTTGGTATGAAACATTAAACGACAGCAAAATGACTCTTGAATCAGGCTCCACTAAATGGTCTGCGGACTTAGAGTACTACAAGGCGCACTCTGCCTTATCGTTTCCGATATCCCTCGATCATTGGGAGGGCAAGGAAACCGACAAGGTTATACCGCGGGAGCTGAATGATAAGCAGACTCGCCACGAATACGTTCAGCTCGAAAATCACACAGCAACTTAGGGGACAAGTGGGTCCCTTATGACAACGTCTTCACAGAAATGAAACCCCAAAACACACATCGAAGCCCAGTTCATACCACGGAAGGTCATGGCTGCTATTTGGCAGTCATCCACGAGGGTCGTGCATCACGACCTCCTGGAAGCTGGTGAACCAGTCACGTCGGTATGTCTCTGTTGTTCGGCAGCAGTGAAGGCATGGTGAGTTCGGAGCTATAGCATCTGTTGGGGGCACTAAGGCTGTTAGCCATGGTCGTGATGGTGAATGACGAGTTGTTAGTGTCCGAATGTGCAAGCGCTGTTGGGTATTCCGGGTGTGTTTAGGCTGCCGACAGTTCGGTGAGCTCCGCTTTCGTGTGTGTGCATTTGACCGAATAGGCCCTTGCGGTGAATGAATATGCGCGTACAGTGCCGGCAGTGGAGGCATGTGCGACGGGCATGTGTCAGAGCTTTGGAGCGGTCACAGTGTCACTGAGCAGTGTGACTGAGCAGGACGATGTGTGAGGTGGATGTGCGATTGCAATGAGGACAGGTATAGACCGAGTCCACATTACTATAGGTGGTGGCGATGATGATGATGATGATGATGATGATGATGATGATGATGATGATGATGATGATGATGATGATGATGATGATGATGATGATGATGATGATGGTGAAGTTGCTGGTGGTTGTAGGGGTGTCGGGAGCATTTTACTCGGTGGCAGAGATGGTAGAGGTGGCGGTGACCGTCGGCGGTGTGCGCGGAGATTCGGAGTAACGTTGGGGAGGGCGGACGCCGTCATGGTCGGTCCAGGGGTTAGAGCAGGGGCGGTCATGCAGGCATCAGTTGCGGTTGTCAGGCGATTGGTGTACCGGCGAATCCGATCCGGGCGCGCAATGTTCGCTGACAGCGCGGGCGTGTTGGGTGGGGTTGAGTGACGATGTTGCGGATCAGAGGCGTCTAAGACTTGCGAGTTTACCTCTAGGCTTTGTCGCCTCTCAGATTGCTATGCCAGTCTTCACTGCTTTTTGCCAGGCCGGCCTGTTTTGGGCCAGGTCCCTGGATTAAAGTGCGGTCGCTTCATAGATTTCTTCAGAGTGTCCTTGTGGTTTCGTTTTTGTCCTCCCAGTCGGCAAGCATTCAAAGCGACATCTCCGCAAAAGAGGGCGCATAGTCCGCCCTCACGAGTTGGCCGCTCTATCGCAGTTGCAGTTGTCTTAGCATAGCGTGAATGCTGAGAATCCCCGTTCATTCCAAGACTTCCGTATCCGGGATCCTGCCCTGCCATCTCGAACTCAGTATTCTGAGGAGGCAGTTGAGATGGAATTGACTGAGTTCCCTTGAATGGCTGGAGTAGATGGTCCAGATGTCTGCCTTGTATAGCCGTGTCGTCAGGACGACAGCTCTCAACATCGCCATTTTGGTGATCAGGTGGACAGTGCAGAGATTTCATATGAATTCTGCAGCCGGCCAGAGGTTAGGCTTACTTTGGTGATCCGGTGAGCCACTTCTCCGTCGATTTTGATATAGCCTGCGAATATGCTGCCTAGGACGATGAAGTTTCGAAGAAGGAAACACGATCGCTGGGACAAGAGCTGATTAGCCTGACGATCCGGATTCCTGCTCAAACCCATCATCAGAGACAAAAGCAAGTACGGGTGCTTCATGCATAAGAGGCTGTAGTATTTATAGGATGCAGTCGCCATGCTACGCATACCTATGAACATTCACAGCTCCCCCCTTTATCCGCAATCGTTGCACGTGGCGTGATGGCCGACATTCGCGTCGTTAATTGCTTCAATTTCATCACGTGTGTTGGATGTTGGTGTGATGATTGCTCGACCATCTGACGCACTGACCCGGGTTATGAGAAGAGTGTTCACTTGTGCGCTCCCCGCAAGCCTATTACTCTGCCTTGGCGAAGTCTCAGCACTGAGTATTGAATGGGAAGATCATTGCACTTGTTAGTGGACTGGGGGCCAGTAAACCATGTCTCAAACAGCTCCCGGCTCACGTGGTTGTCACCTCTTGCGAGAATTTCGGCCTCGTAAAATTTGAATATGTGGCCGGATCTCGTCGAATGAGCCCCAACTTGAGAGCTGGCGTCATTTCTCCGCACCGCTGCAGCGTGTTCGGCCATTCGCGTTTGGAGTTGTCTTCCGGTTTCTCCGACGTAGTTGCTTTTTCCGCAACTGCACCAGATCCGATAAACGACTCCAGACGTTTCTTGCCGTGGCAGTGGGTCTTTTGGTTTCATCAGTTGACGCCTGATGGTTGCCTCTGGCCTGTGTGCAACTCCAACCCCAAGTGGTGCGAGAAGGAGGCCGACAGCTTCCTAAACGTTCTTGACATAAGGAAGCACTCGTCAAAATTTGGTGTTCGTGCGGTTTGGACTTTCGTCCCTTTTGCGTATGCACCGGTCGACGAAGTTGCGCGGGTAGCCATTGGCTTTGAAAACCCGTCGGACCTATTGCAGTTCAGCAATCTTGTCTTCCGGCTCACTGCACTGTGTTTCGACACTCCGATAGAGCGTCCTTACACAACTGCGTTTGTGGCTGATTGGGTGGTTGCTGTTGATGTTCAGTATTTGCATTGTACTTTTCGCTTTCCTGAACACCGGTCTTTAGTCCACCACAATTTTCGCGGCATACGAGGACATCCAGGAAGACCAGCTGGTTGTTCTCTTCCTCCTCCATCTTAAATTTTATGTCCGGGAAGACCGCGTTCAGACGTTCCTTGAATGTCAGCAGTTGTTCCCGGCCGATAACGACGAAGGTATCGCCCACATACCGGGACCAGAACTTCGTTCTGTGGTGTTGGAAGACCATTGACTCTAACCGTTGCAGGACCGCCTCGGCGATGAATTCCGAAATCGGCGAACCCATTGGTGTGCCCTTCACCTGTTCGTAGATTGTCCCGTCCAACGTGAAGTACGTCCTGAGACATAACTTCAGGAGCTGAAAGACTTGGGCGCGTCCAAGACGATTCTCCGTTTCATCGTATTTGCTTTGTAGAAGCAGCTCGATTGTCTCGATCGCCAGGTCCTGAGGAATAGAAGTAACAACGGATGTAACATCAAAAGATACCATGACCTCATCTGAATGGAGGTTTACGCAAGATTTTTGCTGACGAAGAGACCGTGGTGTCTGACTCAGCCGTCAGGAACTTGAGACGCCCGAACAGCCACTTAGCCAGTCTGTACGTTGGAGTCCATTTGAGCGACACGATGGGTTGGAGAGGAGCGCCGTCTTTGTGCACCTTAGGGATACCATAGGATCGAGCCAAGGCCGTATCTTGGGGTCACGTCCTGCGTCTGTCGGTCGGTGTTATTGCACTTGAGTTCTCCAAGACCAACAACATAGCAGTAATTTCGTATGTCAGCGCTTTTACAGGGCTCGTTGCACATGGGACATAGAACTGTCGACCCCTTATGCATGAAGCACCCGTATCTGCTTTTGTCTCTGATGATGGGTCCGAGCAGGAATCCGAAACGTCATGCTTATAAGTCTCTTGTCCCAGCGATCGTGGCTCCTTCTTCAAGACTGCTTCCTGGGATTCGTCTCTTCGCTTCTATTGAAGGCGAAGTTGTCCACGGTCTTCATTTCGGTGCTGTCGACATGGGTGCGAGGAATAGTGTATGCAGCAGTGGGTGGATGTTGATGTATGACCACCATTTTAACGTGTTGGTAGTCAGTCCAAAGTTGGCGCAGCCGGCGGCGAAGAGTTTCATCCTTTGTTGCATGTTCACCTCGGTCATAGTGTTCAGTGGGCAGTCATCCCCGAAAAAACAGCTCGTGGACTGTAGTTGTAGAAAGATGCCTTGAGGCGTGCATACACTGGCTGTTGAGAAAGTGACCATCAGTTCTGTAGGCGACGCAGATCCCAGGGCGCTCATAACGACAGACGTCCATCAGCATAGCTGAGAGGGTTTGGACGACTGCGCAGCCCCGCTTCGCTCCGTTGGTTATTGCAAATGCTTCTGTCCGTAATGCGCACCATCATCCTGTCGTGAAGTTGACACACCCTGTGCGTGAATCGCTCAGGACAGCCGAACTTCTGCACGGTTTTTCATAGGCCATCTCGACTGTTCGTTTAAAACGTCTCTTGTGATATCATGTCGATGGATCCGCGGTGTTACTAGAAGGTACATTGTCTTTCCGGGTTAACTCCCCGTTCTGGATGGCCACTGAGACGGCTGTAGAGAATGCGAGTGAGGACGTTTCTGATGATATTGAGCAGTGAGATGCCTTTGTGATTATCGCAGAGTTACCAATTCCCTGTCAGCTTGTAACGATAGACGATTATCAAGTCCCTGGAATACTGAGGAACTTGTCCTTGGCGCCATATCTCCTGTAAGAGGGCGGTTAACTGGTCGATTAGCCGGGCGCCATCGTGCCTGTAAACCTCGACCAGGATCGCATCGGATCCTGGCGCATTCCCTTTGGTGAGGTTGTGGTGTCTGGCAGACCAGGCGGGAGATCCGGGTCGTTGTTCGTTTTCAGTTTGGGAGCCGGTTGACGGCGGCATTGGAGGCCATGAATGGTCGGCTGAGGACGGTTCTGAAGTGTTCGGTCAGCACTTCAGAATCTTTGATTTCTCCGTTAGGAATGTAGTTCCATCGGAGGTGAGAAACTTGGCGGTTACGTTAACTATGGAATCGTAGATCGTCTTAATTGATGCAAAGTTATCTTTTTCATTGCGGCCCGTGTACCCCTGTATTTTATTAGGAGCCATCGGGACATTTTCTTCTTCCGCAGCCGTTGTTGCACACGGTAGAAAAATTTGAAGAAGGCCGTTTTGAGTGCTACGGCCCGGCTGAACGGCAATATAAAAAGCTGATATGCCGATTTAGTGCAAGACATATGACGAAAGCCATTGCGCATGGGGCGGGAGGACTTCACAGAGATTAGATCAGAATATGGGGGTGAGGAACGTCATCCAGAATTCGACCAGCAAATTGCCTGAACGTTTTGAAACATCGTTGTATAATAATATCGGCTAAAAAGACATAAGAACGGTCGATGGCAGAGGAGAGCATTCGGAGGACTTTTTTAAAAATAAGCGAGTCTTTTTGAGCAAAGCAGGGAAAGTGATAGGAGAACAATAAAGACTGAGAGGGAGAATGCAGACATCTATAAATCGCCAGATTAAGGGTTGGGGTATGTGTGGTGGGAGCACAAACGACGAATGTAATAAAGAAGTTTGCGAACGTTAGTGAGAAGGAACTAAATATGGAGGGAGAAAGAAAGATTTGATGACAAAGTAACACCAACGTATCTGAAAGAGGATACCTCGTTGGGAAGGATGTCTAAGGGTTCAGGACTGGGAGAGGGTCGCAGTCGGAAAACATACTGGACGGACTTCTGGTTACTCAAGACGAGACCATTTTCCTGCGAACGCACGGAGACAGGGTCAAGATTACCCTTCAGAGACTGGAGATGTGTCCGATTTCTGAGAGGGTGTCCAACAACCGCATAGTCCGCATATTTAAATAACAGGCAGTCGTTAGGGGATCTTAGGTCTTCATTGTGAAGGGAAAAGAGTTGAGGGGATAAAGTGGAACCTTGGAGAGCTCCACAGTATTTCGGAAGAACGATAGATTTCCACTTACCGGATTGGCCAAATTGAGTGCGGGAGGTAAAGTAGTCACTGAGCCAAGAGACAACCCAGCCTGAAGAAACGCGCTTCGTCTAATGGCGTAAAGGAGAATCGTTATGAAGAAATTCCCACTACCGTCATTAATGTCGGACGAACGAACCAAAAACAAAGAGGGACCTTTAAAAGGTGGTTTTTGAGTCGTCTTGTTCTGAAGGAGATAACTGGAATTGAAATCCACGGCCATGAAATGTTTAGGACATACTGCAGTTTTATTCAAAGTCAAATTTTCCTGGCAAGTTGATTTGTTGCGGCAAGTGTAACGCACTAGTTAAAAGCTGTTTTCTATTGCACAGGGTCGTTTTCACCGCTCTCCCGCAACATTTAATGCCTCTTAACTGTTAGACTTAAATAAATTTTTGAAGTCTCCCTCATAGTCGAATGCAACACCAAAGACTGGACCGAAAATGGAGATGGTCTGACAAAAATGCCGGAACTGGGGGTGGAATGTAGCAGAACTTCCCCACTGTGCTTCTAGATGACCATTTTGAAGAGTTAAACCCTGTAAGGTCGGGTGTTGTCATGTTACAGAATCAGGGGGTTTTGACGGTCGGGTGGCATTTGCTGAATAACTGCGTAAAGGTTTCCCCAATCCTACCTTACCTAGCAAGTCGTGGTCTTTCGAAGATGCTGCTTCGCTCGAGGTGTTGCTTGCCAAACACGACTCACCTATTCCTTTCCTTACTTCA